GAGTCGACAATGTAACGCTGTTGCAAAAAAAGTGAACATCATTCAGGGATGTATTAGCAGGAGTGTTGTAAGCAAGACACGAGAAGTAATTCTTCCACTCTACTCCGTGCTGATTAGGCCTCAATTGGAATATTGTGTCCAGTTCTGGTCGCCACATTTCAGGAACGTTGTGGACAAATTGGAGAAAGTCAAGAGAAGAGTGAAAAAAATGATTAAAGGTCTAGAAAACATGATCTATGAGGGAAGATTGAAAAAATTGGGTTTGCTTAATATGGAAAAGAGAAGACTGAGGGGGGATATGATTACAGTTTTCAAGTATGCAAAAGGTTGTTACAAGAAGTAGAGAGAAGAATTATTCTCCTTAACCTCTGAGGATAGGAGAAGAAGCAATGGGCTTAAATTGCAGCAGGGCAATTTAGATTGGACATTGGGAAAAACTTCCTGTCGGGGTGCTTAAGCACTGGAATAAATTGCCTAGGGAGGTTGTGGAATCTCCATCATTGGAGATTTTTAAGAGCAGGTTAGATAAACACCTGTCAGGGATGGTCTAGATAATACTTAGTCCTGCCATGAGGCAGGGGCTGGACTAGATGACCTCTCAAGATTTCTACCAGTCCTATGATTCTATGATTATTGAACATATTTAGCTATTCTGAGGTTAGCTCTCTCTACTACTAAGTATTGTGGTCCCTCCAAACCCTCATAGGTCTTGCTGAGTAGGGTTTAAGACAACTCCATGTTGGAAGAGGTGACCTGTCTCATAGAAGGAATACTTTCTATTTAGCAAGGCCAGGATAGGGAACCAGTTATGGAGTGGTTCTGGCTTAATTTCAGACCAAATGCCCAACAAACTGGTTAACTACATCCACTGCAACAATGTGAAAGATACCTGCTACTCTTACATTATGAATTAATGTTTGCAGTGGTGGTGTAGCTGTGTTGGTCCCAGGATATGCGGATGTCAAGATGGGTGAGGTAATACTTTTTATTGGACCAACTTTTGTTGGTGAAAGAGACACGCTTTGGAGCTCCACAGAGCTCTTCAGGTCACAGAACTCGAAAGCTTGTCTCTTTCATCAATAGAAGTTAGTTCAATAAAAAATATTACCTCACCCACCTTGTCTCTCTCATTATAAATTAATGGCCTTCAGAAGCCATACCTGCTGTGTTTTTTAAAAAGTGTGTGTGTATAAGTAAATAATATGGAGCTGATAGCCACACTTATTAGGTTCCCCTCCACTTCCCGTTATAAAACAGTTTTTAGATGCTTTTACCTTTGCCAGACTTTAACGATGTGGGCTGAAATTTTGCATGCTGGGCATCTGCTTCAGGGTGTGTGTGTGTGTGTGTGTGTGTGAGAGAGAGAACATTAGCCACAATGGGTCAGCTGGTTCTGAGAATGAGGCCAAGGAAAATTACATTTAGCGCATGTTAACAATACTGACAACCTTTTCTTTGAGAATCTCTAGCATCCCTATGCTTTGGAGCAGGGACTTGAAATTTAGCATGGGGTTGTTTTTTGTATCAAAAATTTGCTTTTTGTTTTCCTTGTGAAAATCTGCCCAACTTTAGCCAAGTGATAAAGCTTTGAAAAATTATAGTTTGCACATGCTCAGTAGAGACTTGCTTGAACTTGGTAGCTAAATTCTCCAAAGATTCCATCCATGCTGGTCATGCTGCAGCCTGCGGCTAAGCAGTACTTTCTTTGCAATTGCAGCTCTGGACTGCTGCAGGCTGGGCTGGGTCTGGGACCAGAAACTGAGAGCAGGGAGCCTCTCTCTCCTGTGCTCTCCCTGACCCCCTTGCTGTCTCCCAGGCAACACGGAGGAGAAAATTACCTCATGTGAATGCAGAGAAAGAAGAGGTGGGACCTGAGAGGGAGTATGGATGTTGTCTGTAAGGGGAATGGGAGTGTGTGGGGACTGGGGACCATTGGGAAGACAGAGATCAGATAAGGAGTTGGGTGGCAGACTGGTACTATCTGGACAAGAAGAAGGAGACTGGAAACCAGTGGGGCTGGGGGGAGGGAGAGGCAAATATGATTGAGCCAGGGGGAGAACTGGGACTGGCTGGCTAAAGAAACTAGGACAAGAATGTGAGGTGGACACTGAGATTAGAGGAGGAGCTAAGGGAGAGAGACTGGGACTACAAGCCGGGGGCCGGGGTGACTCCAGGCTGGTGGGATGAGATGAGGAGCTGAGAGAAGGAGAACTGGGACTTTCTGTGCAAGGAGACTGGTGTGGGGGAGACTGGAACTGGGATGGAGAGTCCAGAGTCAAGGGCTTGTTGGGCAAGGAGACTGGGAATGGAATCAGAAACCTGAGGCATGGAGATTGGAACTAGCTAGATGGGAAGAATGGGACTGGGATGAAGAGCCAGAGGTGGGAAAGAGACAGGGACAGATTGGATGGTACATGGCAGAAGGGCCAAATTTGGGGGGAATGGACAGAAGAGCCAGTGCCCAAAATAGTGCACTCTTCTCCTAAGCCTGGAACGGAACCCAAGATTCCTGAGTCTTACCATTACTATGCTGTTAGCAAACATCTTTGAAACTGACTGGCAAAATGTCCCATCTCTATTTAGTGCTGGTCCACATAGAAGATGACAACCTACTGTTGCTCTCGGTTACTCCATTAGCTCAAGTGGCTGAGGTCTGTGTGATGGATCCAAAGAATCCAAACTTGCTGATGTGGGTTTCAATGTGATGTCACATGATGGAGTTTGTTTATCCAATTTTTTATAAGAAATTATGTCAAAAATACCATAAGTTAAAAGCACATTGTTTGCAAAGTCAAGCTCTCAAAACTTAGGAAATGCCAGAGTTAAGGTTGCCTGTGCAGTCTTAATTTGTTCTCCCTTGTGCATGTGCATTATGATTCAGACTGTGATTTTGGCAGGAATGTTTTTAGTAAGTTTCACAGCAGAGGCATGTGGAAAAACCAGTAAATCATGGGAGAAATCACAAAATATAGTTTTCACTTTATCAGCATGTACAAGAGTATAATAGGGCTGCTAAAAAGCATGACCCAGTGGGGGTGTTGGAGAGCAAGCTAACCCCAAAATGGCAGCGCCTGTCCTATAAGGGTGGGCCCAGCTCTGGGGGTTGTGACCTGGCGCATGGTGTCATAGTGCCACTTAAGTTTGGCTCGTCTGATCCTCTGTCTTCATCTGTAGAAGGGCACATGAGCCAGACATGAATTTCGCCATGACCCTGTGCATCAGGTCGTTAACATCACTCAGTTTCGGGGCCTAATCAAATGTGTTTTTTACAGCCATTTCCAGGATTTCACAATCTCTGTGACAAAATCACAACAATATCATATGCTAATTAGGATAGTCTCATTCAGTGCACAGAATAGAGAATGATCATTTAATGAGTAGGTATTCAATATTTTGTTTTCTCCTCATTGTTCAATGTGTGGCTCCAGGCCTCCTTACTTACCGCAAGCTTTTCAGACCTTGCTGTAAATCCAGCATTATTAATTTCCTCATGGGCTTGTCTATGGTGCTCATCACTATAATATCTGAGTGCTTCACAAACAATTTATCTTCACAACACCCAGGTGAGATGAGGGACTATATCCCCATTTTGGAGATGGGGAACTGAGGTGCAGAGAAATTAAGGTAAAAAGTATCCACTAATTTTGGGTACCCAGTCTGACACTTGGGATCTGATTATTCAGAATACGTAGCATTGTATATCACTTTAAATGTTCAAAGCACAGTTCCCATTGACTTCCGTTGTACTTGTGATCACTCAGCACTTCTCCAAATCAGACCACAGGGTCTCAGAAAATGAGGGAAACATTTAGTGACCTCTTGTGAAAAATTTGGTTTAAGTGACTCAACCAGCCTTACATAGGAACTGTGTGGCAGAGGCAGCAATAGACTCCAATTCTCCAGGGAGCATTCAAGTGCCTTAACTATAAGATAATCCTTTATCTTCCCTCAGTCCCTTGCCTCATTGTCTACACACCTTCCAGCTTCTTCGGCAAATCAGGTAGTACCTTCCTTTACTACACAACCCTGATTCATCCCTAGAGCAGGTCCATCCTATGTACTGAATGAGGCAGGGGTCCTGTGGAAGAAATGGTATGTGATCATGTATTTAAAGACTGTATCATAATGTATATGCATAGGGGGGACAAATTAAGGATGCACAGGTAACCTTAATTCTGGCATTTCTTAACTTTTGAGTTCTCAGTTTTGCCACATCAAGGTTTTTAATTTTTTCTGCCATATAAAATATGTTCCACAACCATCAGTATAAATCTCATGCTTTTCCTATCAGTTAAATATTAAATTGACAAGGTTTTATGTGGTGATGTAGCTGTATTGGTCCTAGGAAATTAGAAAACTTGGGTGAGGTAATATCTCTTACTGGACCAACTTCAGTTGGTGAGAGACAAGCTTTCGAGCCACACAGAGCGCTTCTTCTTGCCTCTCTAAAAAGGTTTTATGGTTGGCAGTGCAACATGCTAGCAGGGCAAAGTTAAATATTTGAATCTAACAGCACAGCAGACTTTTAGGGTACCAACAAGGAGAAATAGCTAGTGTACACAGTGTTAATATAATTTTTTCTTAACTTTGGATTTAGTATCTTAGTAAAATTATATATATTGTAGCTGTGTGTATGTTGCTATTCTTTTCCTTATGGTTATCTTTGAATGGTGATGGAGGTTTGCTTTCTTTCTACTGGGACTATAATACCTTTCTTCCATTCACTTTTGTTCTATGATCAGCTCTGGTTTGGTGGGATTATTAGGTAATACATTACTGCTTGATTATGATGTTCAAAGTATTCACTTTGGAAATGTACACAGTGTTTATTATTAGTTTGTTGGCTTTTGAATGAAACCATTCACATAAGAGTCACTGGAAAGCTTGTTAGAAATTAATTAATTCAGACATTATGGGAAACTGAATATTTTAACATATAAAACTTACAGGCTTGAAAACAAAGCCTTTAGACATCTCATGTTGTTTATATTATTTAATAGGTGAACATTATACCAGTCATAGCCAAAGCAGACACCATTTCTAAAACTGAACTACAGAAGTTTAAAATCAAACTCATGAGTGAATTGGTTAGTAATGGAGTCCAGATATACCAGTTTCCAACAGATGATGAAACCATTTCTAAAATTAATGCCACTATGAATGTAAGTATGTTGCATACATTTGAAAGAATGTTTGATATTCTGGTAGTAAAGTATCCTCTTTACCACTTTTCATGCTTTTTCTTGCATGTACTTCTTGAGGCAATAGGGTTTTGTATTTGTAGCATTTGGATATTTACATTTGTCTTTTTATGAGCTACTTAAGGAAAAATTTAGAAACACTCATCTAGTCTGGGTCCCCTCCCCCCAAAAATGTGTTACTCTAATAACTTTCTTCCCAGTTAGCAGTACTTCAGGTTTGGTTGTGGAGCAGTCATTCAGTGTTGAGGCAACATTTCCTGCCTCATGGCTGTCTGAGCTTGTGGCATGAGCAAGATCTCAGGCCTCAAGCCCTGCACTTCCTGTAATGGCCTCATGTCTGTCACTGGTGGATGCTGAAGATGCCTGTTCTGCTTTGAGGAAGGCTGTATCCCAAATAGTGCAACTGTCTATTGGCCTTTTCCAATAGAAATGGATGCATGAGGGACAACTACCTCAAACTCCATTTATTGTAGCAATCTATGAAGACTGTATTGGATTTGAGAACCAGGAGTCCTTGCGACATGGGCAGCCCTCCGTTGAAGCTCCAAAGTCCCTTAGTGCACTAGCAGGCCAGGATTTGACTAGCTATTGCTCTTTTTAAATGGATTCGCTATGTGAAACTGACTTGTAGACATAATATGTTTATTTGTCTCCAAATGCTTGTTGTTTCTCTGATTTAATTTTCAAGTGTTGTTTTCCAGTTCGTATGTAAGGATACTGGGAAATAAGACTGAATTGTTCTGACTATTTTACAGGGACATTTACCATTTGCTGTAGTGGGGAGTATGGAGGAAATGAAGATTGGAAACAAAATGGTGAAAGCTCGACAGTACCCTTGGGGCATTGTACAAGGTAAAATCTGAATTTTGAATAGTATTTTTCACAAGTATGTGAATGTTGTTTTCATTATAAAACCCACTCAAGTTGCAGAAGTGTTTATGTTTTGATATTAAGTGGGCTGATGCTGGCTTCTGATGCCAGATTGATAGGCTAACTGATCCAAAACATTCATGGCTTGATCTTCCAGGTCCCATCAACACAAATGAGATTTATGAGTGCTGAGCAATTCCGAAAATCAGGCCATCCAGATCCTGGATGTGGTGATTAGTTATGTTATTGCATTGTAAAGGTGCAGCTGGCATTACCAAATGTTACAAGGCTATTATATCAGAACAGAGGAGAAAGAAAGTAATTTCTTTTGTAGATTCAAATAGGGAGTCATGAAAAGAAAAATAATGGAGCCTGATAAACAATGTTTATAGTTAATGCTTGAATTATGTATCACAAATCATGAGGCAGCAACTGGGTAAAAGAAACTAGGGGCATTTTACCCCCAAAAAACTTAATCAACCAATTGAATAGAAAATACCAAGGTTATTCAAAATACTGTTCTACGGTATAGTCATTTGTATATCATGGATCAATATTACTATTATTATTTACTTGAATAGTGGAAAATGAGAACCACTGTGACTTTGTAAAGCTTCGTGAGATGCTTATTTGCACAAATATGGAAGACCTGAGAGAACAGACTCATGCACGGCATTATGAGCTGTATAGACGCTGCAAACTGGAAGAGATGGGCTTCAGAGACACAGGCCCTGAAAACAAACCAGTCAGGTAAGGGGATGAATCCTTTAGCTTGAATGTTGAGTTCATTCATCCCTCTGCATTATGATCCCTAATCCTTTAGAGTCTGAGGGAAAGGAAGAAAAATTATATCCTTTAACCCACCACTAGAAACAAATAGTGCTGTCTGAAGGAAATATCAGTAATACATGGAAATTGTAATATTTTTATCTAGTTATCATCACCGTATACTATATGTGTGATGTGACTATTTTAGAGGAGTACAGACTATTTCTGTATTTCTCATAGATCACTGATGCTTTGTTCCAAAACTGAGGATTTTGATTTATTTCTTGCAAAAACACATTTGGCAGCCCACGTTCTTCTACATGTATGTACACTTATTCTCTATTCTTTTTTCTTGCCGTTGAAACTAATTCCAGCATAACCTTGCTTTTTCTTATACTTCCAACTTTGCTGTTTTGTCTCATCTGTTATTGATATCTGATGTAGAAGTGGTAGTGTGGTTGGACTCCATGGTCAGAAATAATTGAATAAATAACTTCAATCCTATAAAATCACTGGTACTACTTTTAACTTTTTACATTTCTTTACCCATAAAGATTAGAAATTTGTTCATGCCACAGAAAATCTCCAAATAGCCTGCCATAGAATTAAGGGGGGATTCCAAAAGTTCTCATGAAAAGCAAAAAGAAAGAGCTTACTTGTAAACAGGCTTTTTTTGTATAATCGCACTTTGCACAGCAAATCCTCATAATTCCTATTTCCCAATTTTTCTATCTTTTCTAACTTTCTGATCTTTTTTCCTTTATGTAGCCTCTTCTTTCTACATATATGACTGCTTCATTTGTACGTGCACATTGCGTGTTAGAATTCTTCCAGAAATAGACTTCTGAACTGCCAATTTTTCTCTCCTCCCAGTCTATAATTAGTAGTCGAATTCTATTGAGAATGGAAATCTGTGAAGTGCCAATTTACTGCTGTGCAGTAGTGGTGGCCAACTCTGGGATGGAATATACATTTAAAAAACAGCAAAATATCCTGGAACTTAAAAATGTTTTTTAATGCTCTGACTCATCATTATTTGATATTTTTATATCTGCCCATCTTTACCCAGTTATTACTAATACTAAAAAGTAACGCATTTTCCAACTAGTTTTAGAATAGTTTTTCTAGTTGCGTAAATTCTCAGTTTTCATCTTTATCTCCAAGAAGAAGCTACAAAGCTGCAGCAACAGATATGAACTGCAGAATGTTAATGTTTAGGACAACATGGTTTTTGGCATTAATTAAATGAATACCTGTTTTTAGCATTATTCTGTCAAGTGAGTTTATTTGACACATGATCATGCTGGATATGAGAGCACTTTCCAAAAGGTCTAAAGACCTTCAGAAAACCTCTCTAGCCACCAGGTGGTAATGTAGAACATCAACTACCATGAGAGAAATCTGAATGTAACTGCACATGTATAGAATATTTGATTAAATAATCTTGAGTTGTCCCTCAATCAGGACACTAGGTAGTGAATTAGATCGTTCTTGACCAAACCTAACAGGAAGCATATGAGCTTTCCATAAGTAGAAAACTAAGGGTCAGATCCAAAGCTCACTGAAGTCAGTGGAAGTCTTTCCATTTGCTTTTACTTCATGGGCTTTAGATCAGGCTTTAAATGCATTGGTAGCTGAATAATTCTTCCTTCAAATTCGGAAATTGTTCATGTAAATGGCAAAAGGTCTTAGCTGGCATTAAGAGACAAGTTCAGTGATACCACTGTATTGCAACTGGCAAATCTAGTTTCAGCTGCTATTGGAAATGTCCATAGTCAGCATCATAAATGTGTTGACTGCAGTACCTCCTACCTTTTCTTAATGTTGGTGTTCATATAGCTGCAATTTCTTCAGCAAAATGCATATGGCATCTAAACTAAAGCTTCAAGCTGCTTTAAACTATTTCCAGGCCTAAAGTTGCAGCATTATACTTATATGTTTTAACACTCTACTCCCTGGATGTTGATTGGAATTGGATTCTCTGACAAGAAATCAGAATTACAGAAAGCTATAACTGCCATTGGTGTGCAGCTGTATTGGGGGCCTGTTGAATAGCTAGCCTATTGAGAACCCTGCGATTAATGGCAAGCATACTCTGTTGCGACAGATGAATTAGATATGCTTAGCCACAACTATTGAAGGCACCATTGTTTTTTAAGGAGGGAAATAGGTACAGTAAAAGAATTTAAAGAGAGGAATTAACTAACTGATTTATTGTGACAAAAATAGGCAAGCGGGATCTGCATGCAATTCTCCCTGTGCTCTGTACCACAGTGAGAATTACATTGATGCCTAAAAGAGAAGGCACTTGGTTTGTCTGAAGGAAAATTTATATAACGTTATAATGAGAAGAGAGAATTCAGAGGATTCATTTGATATACAGCCTGCCCAATAATGTAACATTATCCATAAAGTATTTGATGGAACTACTACACAAATCATAGAATAAACTACAGAAAGTCTACTAATTGGAATTAAATCCATCAGCAATATGGGGAAAAGGGTGGCTCTGTCCCACAGAGACAGTACAGTAGAACCTCAATAATTCCCACTTTACTGAACTGCAAATCCAGTCATTTCTCAGAAAAATGACCATCTTGGCCACTTCTCAGCAAAAATGTATTCACAAAGTGAGTTGCAAAATTATTAAAACGCCAACACTTTTACAAAATATACAATAGTACATTTACTACTATTTAGCAGTGCAAGGTATTACTACAAATAATTAAAATTAAATTGTACTCAATAAATGAACAAAGTACATCTAGTGAAGTCAGTTTCCCTGACTTTTTATAATTGTTTGTTCACTTGCAAAATTTGATAATCTGCAACGGGTTTCTCAGTCAGTGTAAAGTAGCAAAATTTTGCTATATTTGAATAATATGCTGGCTTTGCTCCATCAGGAGCTTTGTGGTATTGCACGTATGTCATTTTGATGATTTAATAAATACATACCCTCATATAGTTGCCACTAATTAATGATTGATAATTCATTTTGAATTTAATTTTAGTCCAAAACTGTTCCTTTTGCAGGGCAACAGCAATAGGTCTTGTATTGTTAGGACTGCTGATGAGGTCATAGGCAGAGAAAACCATAATTGGTTTTCATAAATTGTCTAGTATGAAAAACTATGTTGATAAGTGTCCATTGCATGTAAGGCAGTGGAATTATTATTGTGCCCCAAAGCATGCTAGGTCCTCTCAGAAAACCTGGAAAGAAATGGTCCCAATTCCAAATTGAAAAGTTAGAAACATACTTAAGGTACAAGTGGGTGTAACAGGAATAGGGATGGGAAAGCAAAGATAACAATGTTTCATGGTTAAATAGGCCAATAAATATAGTAGTCCTCCTAACCTAATGTCCTCTGTGAGTTTGCTTAGTAATAAGAACAGTTAACTGTTATTTATTTGTAGCTGCATTCCAGACTTTTTTTTGTTTATAATGGAGTTCTAACAAACCACTATATCCTAATCCCCAGGGGATTTAAATGGAGCTGGTTGTAATTTAGATTGTATTAATCTGAATTAAGGATGTCTACCCAACAAATCTTATACATGTGCCTTGTAAAAGAATACTTGTATGAAAAGAGGGATCAGATGAATCACATAGGTTCACGACGAGATAAGCTTCACGTGTGAGGCCCTATCGCAAAAGGGTATTACTAAGTGTAGTGATTATACTAAACAAACATCAATCTAAACAGAGATGTGTGGTATACAGTTTTAGATGATAAATTCTAGTTTCTAACACTTTGCAGGGTTCATCACTTGTAGTCAAACATAACTGGTTTGATCATGTGGTTAGAACTCTTGTTTACTAGCCCTGAAAATAGCCAACCTGTTACCAGTCTGGAAATCAAGTTGTTGAAGGATTTAGAATTTAAGATTAGAGTGGAGGAGAGGAGAGATTGAGAGAGAGATAATTGTATGGTAGCTGTTTGAAGATTGAGTAGATCTGCAAGCTGCCATTTAAAAATCCAGAAATCTACCAGGATACTACTTGTATCATGTACTTAAATTACGTAGGCTTTTCTTAAAGGTGAGTGTCTTTCTGTTTACTTCCAGTCATAATCAGTCAGAGCCTGATTCTGACAGGTGTAGAGCACCTGCAACTTCCTTGGAGTAAAAGTTGCGATAGTCAGCCCTCCATTTATATATGGCCATTAATGCAGAAAGTATACTGACCAGAGCTATTGGAACCTTTAATGTTAAATTACTGTCCTAAAGCCCATTTACCACTTAGGCCTTGTCTACAGTACGGGGGGAGGATGGGGGGGATCGACCTAAGATACGCAACTTCAGCTACGAGACTAGCGTAGCTGAAGTCGATGTATCTTAGGTCGACTTACCTTGCATCCTCACGGCGAGGGGTTGACTGCCGCCGCTCCCCTGTTGACTCTGCTTCCGCCTCTTGCCGCGGTGGAGTACAGGAGTCGACGGCAGAGTGATCGTGGATCGATTTATCGCGTCTACACTAGACGCGATAAATCGATCCCGATAGATCGATCACTACCCACCGACATACCCTTAAACAAATGATCATTACCTGTACCTCATCAATTTGTAGGAAATCTATGAGTGGAATTATATTATACTGTGTCCTGATCCAGCAGAAGTGTTTGTTCCTCTCTTCTCTCCTCTGCTGTAGATAGAAGTGTGTGCAGGCAGAGTCCAGAGTGAAGTGACTCCTGGCTGGTGCCTCCCTGAGTCTTTCCTTTGGTTCCTATGTTGGCAGGTGGTAGGAGGCTAGCTGATAGCTAATAAGCATCCCTCCTGCAGTCCACTGCTCACTGACCCAATGCTGTGTTAGGGCCTACTCCAGGATATTTCCTAAATTCTTTCCTTAGGAGATGTTTATCCTCTGGTGGAAGAAAACTGACTGTCACAGGAGCATTGAAAATATACGCTACTAGTTTGCATAGGTGGGGAAAGATACATACAGCTTGTAAAATGGATGTTTGTTTACTTTCTTGGATTGAAGTTAATCTTTTTTTATTCTTTATTTTTCTACATTCAAAACATGTGAGTCTTACAAGCTTCCCAGCCAATTTTCTTTTAAAGGGAACAGAATGCCCAAAATTGGAGCAACCAGTTATTCCTTGGATTAATCATCCTTTTTTAAGCCATCGTGTCAGATTACATTTTAAATTCTTCAGAGCAGGCACTTGTCCTTGTTCTGAGGGGTTTTCAGAGAAGGGCAACAGAGTGATTAGGAGCATGAAAAAGTTCTTCATGTGAAGAAAGATTGGGATTGTTTACCATAAAAAGAAGATGAATAAAAAGGGATATTATAAAAGTATAGAGAAGATTGACTGGTAGATTCTGTTGTCCCAGGCCATAACATAAGAACAGGGGGAAATTAAGTGACATTAAGAGCAGACAAAATCAAAACTGATAAAATGAAGTATTTTTTCCCCACAATGCTTAGATGGTGTAACTCATTAAAACAGGATGTCTTTGAAGTCAGAAATTATAGAGGTTCAAAGAGTGTTTGGATGTTCTTGCTAACCATATAGAGCAGTGGTTTTCAACCTGTGATCTGCAGACCCCTGGATGTCTGCAAACTGTTTTAAGATTTCCAAAGATGTCCGCACCTCCGTTTGAAATTTTTTAGGGTCCACAAATGAAAAAAGTTTGAAAACCACTGATACGGCGTTTACAGTTAGTGCTTAAAAAAGAAAGTGTTGGAAGGGATATAAAACCTCTTGTGTCAGGGTTTAAACCAATCTCTAACTACTAGGGATTAGGATTAGACTGTCATAGGGGCCAGACTCTCTCTCAGCTGCCTACTGTGGGGTTTCTTGCACCTTCTCCTGAAGTATCTGGTGCTGGTCACTCTTATAGATGGGATACTGGACTGGATGGATCATAGGTCTGATCCACTATAGGAATTCCTATATCCCGTCTTTTGTTTAAAGTGCTATGCTGCTTGTATATATAAAGAATAAAAACAATAAAATCATGACAGCCATTATCGCTAAAAGGATCTTAAACCCCATCCTTAACCAGTCATTTAGATACAGGTTGCCTCTTGTTCAAACCTTTATTCGGGTAAACGCCTAGGCACATTCTGAAAGTCCGTTATTGTCAACTTTAGGAAACCTCTGGGATAGTGAGTCTGAGTCAAAGAACTCCCTGAAAACACCTTGCCACCATCTTCAGAATTTAAATCTTGAGACTGTTAACTGTAGTTCCTTAACTCCTGTTGGGTTTTGATACTGAAGAGTTCTAAAGCTTTTCTGTCAAATGGAGGGTTTTATTAATAGAATATATCTGAGGAGTAAGTTACCTGAATCACTCTTAAGGTAGGTTATTTGGATCACTCTCTTTATATTTCTATCAACTTGTACATTTGATCTTTGTGAGATGAAATATTAAGTGTCCTACTAAGCCTGCTTAAATTAAGCTCATTGAACATGAGCAAAACTTGATTGATTTGCACCTTTGTTTTTAGGGTCCCCCTACTAAAGGGTTACACAGATAGCAAAAAGTCTATATCTCACAGCCACGCTTCTGTAGAAAGGTAGGTAGTAGTGCTATAGTGAAGTATGTGAAGTGTATTAGTAAAATATTAAAAATTATTTACCTTATTTGTACATAAATGCCTTTGTCACAAACTCCCTTCCCCCAACAACCCCTCTTACAGAAAGGGTGATAATATCCATGTATTAGATTTTCATTTTAAAGCTGGAGTGCATTATACGAAGCATGTCAGAGCCAGTGTTGTGTACATTTTGAAAAGCATTTAACTGACCACAGTATAAACAATTCATTAGATACATATAGTGCCAACTTAAACTCTGATGAAATATAAACCACTCTTAAAATAAAGCACTTTTTAGATCATTGTTCTGCTGACATTAAACATTGTGGGGAGGGTTGAAGTTATTACATGTTCTGTTTTTGTCATTGTGATTTGCAAAACAATACTATATTTTAGAAACAAACTGAAAAAAGAACAAAAAACTGCTTTTATAAGTGATTATTTGGTAAATCTGGTATCTTCAAGGCAGACTTCTTTGTGTGAATTAATGGATGCGTACCATTTTAGCCAGTATGTTTCTCTGCGGAACTATTCCTAGAAATATAATTTTCAACATATATCTAAGTGAATGAATTTCTAGGAACGGTGCCTTAATTTCTCTATTTCTTTTAATTTGAAAGAAGATAGCGACACCTTACTCATTAAGGTCTTGTGGTGATGATTTTTATTTTTAAAGAAGTGACCTGGTCTCGTCTCATAAAATTATTGATGCGGTGACCTTTCACCATTCCAGCACTAAATCTGAGCGGTTCAAGTGATGACTTATATTTGACACTTTTAATGTGCTCAAAAAAATACCCCAGCTGCAGGTCAACAACAATCATCTGTCTGGGAACTGAAATTATAGCATAGTATCAAAACATCTCACAAATATAAATTCATTAATCTTCCCAACAGCCTTTTCTTTTATTAAGCTGGTTTATACTTAGAGACTTGAAATGGTTGCTACCATGACTTATTTTTTTAAAAATGGACTGTTCATTTGGTTGAAAAAACACACAGTACCTAGGGCAGATCTGCACTACAGCGGGGATCGACGCTCTGAGGTCGATCCACCAGCAGTCGATTTAGCGAGTCTAGTAAAGACCTGCCAAATCAGCTGCAGATCGCTCTCCAGTCAACCCCTGTACTCTACTCCCCACAAGAAGAGTAAGGTAAGTGTAAACCCTGCGGTAACTTGACCTAAGGTACGTCGACTCCAGCTACGTTATTCACGTTGCGTAGCGTAGGTCGACTTACCACAGTAGTGTAGACATATCCTGAGATACAGTAACTTACTTTTGTTACAATCCTTGTATCCCACATTGGGAGAAGAGAAGAGGAAGGAAAGTAGTGTTGTCACAGTGATTAACTTACCAATGGTGTCAAACACTTACCTGTGAATTGAGGAGAGCTTTAGAGTAAGAAGAGGTGAATCAACCCCCTCTGCCATTACCCTACTGAAAGGATGTTGCAGTCCCACCACCCAACAGTCTGTGAGGCAGTAAGCAACAAAGTGCTGAATGTGTGGAGGAAAAAAAGTAGTGAAGGAACTACATCTGATTTAATAATTGAAACATTCAGCAACAAGACTTTCATAGAAGGATGAAAGAAAGAAGTGGAGTGAATAGACTGTCAGCACCGGTGATGTCATACTGCCTGTTAAGTTGACTCAAAATGGATTGATATTTAGGATTGGGGAGCTTTCCTGCCACTGTCATAGAATTAAGTACAAATAACAAGAGGTGAAACTGTTTCAGTTTATTGTAACATCTACATCAGCAAGTTCTTAGTTTTCCTGATTCAGACCTTTTTATACTGAAAATTACTTTGAGTGATAACAGCTGAATAGGATTTAAATCTGTTAATGTGCCAAAAAGGAAGAACATAAGTTAATGAATAAAAAGATGTTGATGCAGTGTTTCAGCAGCCTGGAAGGAAGCCATGAACCTTGCTCTTGATAGCTGGGGAAAGATGCCAGATGCAGCTAGAAAAGAGAACAAGCATATTAAAGAAGGCAAACAGGGCACATGTAACACCAGAACAGAGAGGGACATCATTGCCAACATTACGACTTTGTCATGGTTATTTTTAGTAAAAGTCACTGACAGGTTGTGGACAATAAACAAAAATTCACGGAGGCCCGCAACCTGTCTGTGATTTTACTAAAAATAATGGGGAGGTCTGACATGGGGAGCGACTGAAGCCCAAGCCCCAGGGAGGGGATTGAGAGTCTGAGCCCCACTATAGAAGAGGGGAATTCCAGCATCCACTGCCATGGTGGCTGACAGCTCCAGGGCCCCCGCTTGCCCCCCTGGCGGCTCAGAGATCCGGGGCCCCCCAGCAGCTGACAGCTCCAGCCCCGCTGCCCCAGGGCACACGGCTGAAGAGGAAAATGTCACTGAGGTCTCTGAAAGTCATGGAATCCGTGACCTTCATGACACAATCTTATCCTTAATCATTTCTAATACTTTAAAGATCCTTTTATTAAACTACTCATCAGCATTATTTCCTGTAAGAGACAGGCCCAGGTTCTCAGCTGGTGTAAAATAAATGGACTTATCTATACCAGCTGAGGATCTGGCCCACAAACTCAATTATCATAGACTTTGCTGTCTTACAAAACTTTTATTCAGATACTTTTTGGAAAGAGCATTTTTCATTCAAGCGTGACAAAACATTTCTCAAAGATAGGTAGGTTATCCTTTTTTTAAGATGGGAACTGAGGTGTGGGTACAGGAATAAAACAACATGATCTGATTAACAGTTTTGTTGTTGATATCCTGCTTCTGTGTTTTGTGTCCAGGTGTTTGCTTGATAGCAACTATTTTTTTGTTGTTACCCTCTTAATAATTTCAAAGACCAGTATGGTAAGCTTCAAATGTGTTATCTTGTGTGAAGAAACTAATTTTTTTAAAACCATACTAACAAAAATGTTTTTGTTAAGGAAATTCAGACTTTTCAAGAAATAAGCCTATATTGTGGATATCAAAGTACTTGTAAAATCAGATATCACCTTTAGACACATGACTATCCCAGATATTCAATTTTGAAATCACATAAAGAATCCTATATATTTTGTTTGAGGGTCACATTATTTCCCTTCATTCAGGTTGAGCCTTCTTACTTCACTTATTTCCCCAAGGTTAGCTTTTTTTATAGGGGCATAATCAATCTAACTGCTGTTATGTGCAAAGTAGCATCTCGGATGAAACATTTCAGAGACGCTAAGTTTTCATTGATTACAATCAGTCTGTCAAAGTATGAGAGAACTCCTATCCTTTTCCAACATCTTGGGTGTCCTGCCACCTCCTTTTCTTGTAAACTCTACATTTTGCAAATTGGAGATTGAGTGTGTTCCTACTCCATGTTTCAATAATTGTAACAGTCCTAAACTGCTGTAATTTGAAGTGATTCATATCAGATCAGTAAAGGGCTTCTTGTCAGTTTTTTTAATCTACCCAGGCATGTTTACTACAAAGGTATAGGGAGTAGTTGCTTCTATTTAAGGTTGTTTATTACTTGCATATGAGAAATTCGAGAGATTTGTACATGAGCTGAACAACTTGTTGAAGTAATGTGCCAAACTGTATTTACATGCTTCCTTTATGTTTCCTTATCTTACAAACAATATGATAGAGACTATAAATTCTCTGGACTTCAGTCTACAGGAGACCTATGAAGCTAAGCGGCATGAGTTCTTTGGCGAATTGCAGCGGAAGGAGGAGGAGATGAGACAGATGTTTGTGCAGAGAGTCAAGGAGAAAGAAGCAATATTGAAAGAAGCTGAGCGAGAGGCAAGTATGCCTCTCTTTTCTTTTTAATTTACAGGTGTTTGGAATATTTTAGCAAAATCACTACTACTATCATACCTATTCATTATTAACTTTTGTATAGCACTAGAGCTAAAAGGACACAACTAGGTTGAGTTCCAATGTGCCCAGACCCTGTACAGAAATATAATAAATGACAATATCATTCCTCAAAGAGCTTACAGTTAAAGGACTGGACAGATGGAGAAGAGAAACACAAGTGGGCTTGGACAGAGTGATGGAGACAGGGTAACATAACAGTCTGCACAGTTCTTAGCCATTCTGTAGCAGTGATCACAGCTCACCATGGCCTAGCCATTATCAGATTGCAGTTTTCTGTATGCATTATGGCGGAAGTGAGTTTTGAGGTGGGAGCTGAAAGAAGATAAGGTGGTGACTACAGATTTTGATTGGGAGCATTTTCCATACATCATGGTTGGCATGGGAAGAAGCACAGAAGTGCTTGTTGAAGAGGTGGGTGATTGAGACCTTATTCGTGGAATTAAAGTGGGAGTCAACGTTGCAGTAAAGTGAGTTAGAAGGGATGGAGCTAAATTGTGGAGTGCTTTTAAAAAAAGGACATAATTTGTTTGATGCATTCGGGGTGCGGGAGGGAGCGGTGGATGAAGCCTAAACTAGTAAATATCCTGTTTATATTATTTATAAGTTCACCATTGCAGTAGTATCTAGGTATATCTTTTAAATTAATCAAAAGAAATTGCAAGTTTTGTATAGAAATCCTGCAGGTTTTCAATATGCTTCAGCCCAAACAGCTGAATGTGTGGTTATCCCCATAAATAAGGGTATTCTGGAGCTGTGTAGGGACTTTGAGTTAACCCAAACTTCAATTCCTACCTGCTTTAAAGTAGGCATACACTATGTATCAAATTCCTGAGAAGGATTTTGAATATCTTTTTACTTTCACCCACTACCAGGCTCTCTCTGGTAGTGGTAGTAGCTAATGAGAAATCTAGACTGGAGCTTCTAGATCCTTACTTAATAAAGATATGAAGTAGATGGATCTCTTGAGATCTGAGGCATTTGTCAGTGCAAGAAATTCCTCAGAGGATTGTCTTCCATCAAGCCGTGCTAGCAAAATGATTTTCTTACCCCCCTCCCCAGCCTCCTTATTTAACATTCCATAAGATGGGCCTACATGTTTACCTCAAATCCTGTCTTAAAGTGGTTTCTGATTTCCATCACAGGTCCATTAACCTTGCATTTTTCCTTGCGATGCAGGTGCATTTGAAAGGAATTCAGCTACACACTTTGAATGTCAAGAGGGTCTTAATTTTATTTTTTAAATAGGATCAAACTAATTCACAAGTTGCCCTACTTTACTTGTGATGTGTTGGATAAGATTAGGATCATAAACTCCTTCCCAGCATAAGACTGCCCAAGCAGATCAGGATATGAATGATTTATTGTGTTCAGCAACCAATGGGTTTCAGGGCACATTCAGGTAGGTCTAACGCAGCCTCTACAACATACCTTTGCAGTTTGCTTCTCTGATATATGCAAGATAGTTTGCAGTGTTGTGGCCGTGTTGGTATCAGGATATGAGAGAGAGTGTGTAGATGAGATAATCTTTTATTGAACCAACTTCTTTTGATGAAAAGTACAAGTTTTCAAGCTCAGGGCTGGATTAACTTTTTGCGGACCTGGCGCCAAACATATTTGTGGGCTCCCATGGGGGCAGTGGGGCATGGCGCAGGGGGGCAGAAGGGTTGGTCCCCAGAGGGAGGGCCAGTTGGGGGCAATGAGACAGGGCATGGCATGGTGGGATCTGCCCCGCTCCACACTGCCCAGCACAAGGGCTCTGTTTACAAACCTGCAGCCAACAGATGCGCACTGGTCCGCCCAGCCCTGCGCTGCCAGCATGCCCCTTCCCCCTGGGGATGGGCCCGTGCCATACCACCCCCCTGCCCAGTGCCCCGCCTTTATGCCCAGCACCCGCTCGCCCAGAGACCTCCATCACAGATCCCTATGCCCACTGCCCTCTCGCTGAGACCTCCCCCTGGTCCCTATGCCCAGCGCCCCCCCAGACCACCCTACTGCCCACCATCCCCCTCACAGTCCCACCATCACAGCTGTACAGCACCCCATGAAGGAATTCTGCATCAAAAAATAAAAAAGTTCTGTGCACAATATTTTAAAATTCTGCAAATTTTCTTTGTCAATAAAATAAATGTGGAAGCTCCAGCATGGCAGTGGGGAGCACAGGCCACTGGTTGTATGGAGGTGAGAGATGACCCTGCAGCCTCCCCCCATCCTGGGACAGGGACTCAGCAGTGAGGCTGCACCTGACCCTGACACAACGCAAGGGCCAGGCCTGCCCCAGAAACACTCTGGGGCCCTGCCCCTCTGTGCAAGACACACCAGGTGTGGACAGGCAGGCTCAGCCTGGCAGCAGGATCCAAGTGCAGAGGGACTTAGTGTGGAGAGATCCAGGTGGGGGTAAGAGGGATCTGTATGGGGCAATCTGGGTGTGGGTGGCTCAGTGGGGGATCTGGATGCACAGGGACTCGCGGGGGAGGGTTCCAGGTGCAGGGGCAATGGAACTCTGCAGGGGGGATCCAGGTGAAGGTGGTTGGGACTCAGCATGGGGTGTCTAGGTGTGGGGAGCTCAGCGGGGCAGGGCATGGTCTGGGTGCAGGGGAGGTGGGGTTCATTTGGGGTGGAGGTCCAGGTGCAGATGGGGCTCAGTGGGGAGGGTGTGGGGGGGCTCATTGGGGTGCTCTAGGTGTAGGGGAGGTGGGGCTTGTCAGGGTGGGAGTTTGATGGGCCTGTTTAATGGGGGAGCCCCAGCTCCTGCCAAGGGGATGCCGCATGCTGGGCTCCCACTTCTCCTATCCCCTTCTATTCCCCATCCAATGCCCCTTCCCCACTGCTCCATCCCCTCCCCATCCCATCCCTCTTCCTTCCCCATTGCCTCTTCCCCCATCCCCAGCCCGCCCCCTGCCCCACCCCATCATGGGCACTCACTGTTGTACAAAAAACAGGACAGCTCCAAGCACACAGAAGTGAAGCACAACCAGCACTAGGACCCAGAAGGCAGTGTCCAGCTGCAAAGTCAGCGGAGCTGAGCAGCACCCTTCTTTTTCAGCTGGGCAGCTCTGCACTCACAGAAAGGGGGGGCAGCGGCATATGACCCCATGTGCCCCCCCACTCCTCACCTCTGCTAGGGGCAATGCCCCCCAAACTTAGAGTTGCCAACTTTCTACTCGCACAAAACCGAATACCCTTGCCCCACCCCTTCTCCGAGGCCCCGCCTCCACTCATTCAATTCTCCCCTCCCTCTGTTGCTCGCTCTCCCCACCCTCACTCCCTCTCTCATTTCCACCGGGCTAGGGCAGGGGGTTGGGGTGCAGGAGAGGATGAGGGCTGCGGCTGGGGGTGCAGGCTCCAGGGTGGGGCCAGAAATGAGGAGTTCAGGGTGTGGGAGGGAGCTCCGGGCTGAGGCAGTGGGTTGGGAGGAGGAGGCGGTGAGGGCTCCAGCTGGGGGTGTGGGCTCTTGTGTGGGGCCTGGGATGAGGGGTTTGGGGTACAGGAGGGGGCTCCGGGCTGGAGTTGAGGGGTTCGGAGTGCAGGAGGGTGCTCTGGGCTGGGGCAGAGGGTTGGGGGGCAGGGAGGGCGAGGGCTCCAGCTGGGGGTGCAGGTTCTGGGGTGGGACCAGGGATGAGGGGTTTGGGGTGCAGGAGAGGACACAGGGCTGGGGTAGGAGGTGGGGTGAAGGCTCTGGCTCAGGATGCAGACTCGGGGGTAGAGCTGGGGATGTGGAGTTTGGGATGCAGGAGGGGGCTCCGGGCTGGGATCGAGGAATTCAGAGGGCAGAAGGGGAATCAGGGCTGGGGCAGGGGGTTGCGGCACGGGAGATGGTCAGGAGTGTAGGCTTCAGCCGGCGCTTACCTCAGGCAGCTCTTGGAAGCAGCGGCATATCCCCCCTCCGGCTCCTACATGGAGGCACGGCCAGGAGGTTCTGCGCGCTGCCCTGTCCGCAGGCCATGGTTCCCAGCCAATGGGAGCTGCAGAGCTGTTGCTTGGGGCGGGGGCAGTGTGCGGAGCTCCCTGGCTGCCCCTACACCTAGAAGCCGGAGGGCGGACATGCCGCTGCTTCCGGGAGCCGTGCAGAGCCATGGCAGGCAGGGAGCTTGCCTTAGCCCCGCTACGCTGACAGGACTTTTAACGGCCCAGTCAGCAGTGCTGACCTGAGCCACCAGGGTCCCTTTTCGACCAGGCGTTCCAGTTGAAAATTGGATACCTAGCAACCCTATCCAAACTAAGCCCATGGGCATTCCCAGCTGCCCCGCCTCCCACTCCCCCCGCTTCCCTTTGCTTCTTCGTCATTTTCTAAAGGGAAGCAAAGAAATCTGCAGGGGGACCTGTTTTCATTCCCCCAGGAGTATCCCACACAGACCCCCCTCCACTGCCAGTGCCCCCCCCCCCCAACCCCCCCAGCCCCCCCCCCCTGCCCCCTGCCTGCCCCCCCGCCCCCACCCGCGGGGAAGTGCCAATGTCTGTGCATGGGCTGAGCCTGCAGCACAGCTGGGGCCAGTCAGGGATCACTCCGGCTCCTTGGGAATGGCACAATCAGCCAGGCCAGAGCCTCCCTGGGCTGGGCTCCATCAGGACCCACTTGCCTGGAGCCGCCCAGCCCAGCCCAGCCTACTGCGCTGCCCCCCACCCACTGGCTGAGACCGGCCTGGTCCCTGCACTGGTCCCAGGCAGCTCGGCCTGGGGAGGTGGGCAGGGCCCCACAGGTGGCGGGCAGCAGAGACTGCCCGAGCCAGAGCTGCACCTGCAAGTGGAGCAGACCCCTGGGACATGACCACCGAGAGCCCACCCAACCCAGCTGTGCCACTGGCCCCACACCCACGGGTCAGGCAGGAGGGAGGGAGGTGAAGAGGAGTGAGCAGTGGGTGGGACCTTGAGTCAGAGCACAGACAGAGTGGGGAGGGGAGGTGGGGCCACGGTCCGGACACCAGGGCCCCTTCTGAGTGTGGGCCCGGCGCCATGGTCAACCCGGTACTGTTCAAGCTACACAGAGCTCTTCTTCAGGTCTGGGGAAGGAAGCAGAGTGTCTGAGCTAAATACAAGTTGGGACAGATATTGTTAAGCAGAAGGGGTAACCCATGTTTGAAGTGGTCACTTGAAATAAAGTGGGTAATTGGGGGTTAGATTGTTATTCATAAAGGGTTTGAAGTGGGCAATTAAGGGTAGCAGGCAATGTGGTGTGTTACAAATTGTTGTAATAAGCCGTAAAAGCAGTGTCCCTGTGAAGTCAATGGTTTTTGGTGTGTAGCAGAGTATGAATTTAAGTTCCCATGGTCTCCTTTTTAAGGTGTTATGCAGGTTAGCTTTGAGGACAAGTATTAAAAGGTCAGATATGAACTGATCGCTTTGTGAAAAGTGTTCACTCACAGTGATATGGTGTGTTTTTGTTTTTTATTGTTTTTCTGTGTGAACTCTTTTGAAAGCATAGTGATTCTTGGGGCATTTGATGCACTGGGTGATGTACACTACATGTAATAAGCATGTGTAGAACCCATGGATCTTGAAAGGTGTGTTATGGGAGGTATTGATCTTTGTAGCTGTGAAGATATGTCTTCAGGTTTTGCGTTTGTTGTTCTGGTAGGGTCTGGTGCTGCTTTGAGTTTACATTTAACAACAAACACTTTGCCCAAACCATGGGAATGGCCATTGGTACTAGACTGGCTCCCCAATATGCCAGCCTCATCATGGGTCACTTCAAGGAAGAATTTCTGGAAAAATGCACCATGAAACTAGTGATATATCTGAGATACATTGATAATAGTTTCATCCTCTGGACAGAAGACCTAAACTTCCTCATAATTTTCATCACAACTTTAACAACCACCACCTATCCATCAGACTCTCCGTAGAACACTCCCACACCAGCATCAACTCCCTGGACACCATGATTAGCTTAATCAATGGAACCCTACAAACATCTATGTACAAGAAACCCACGGATCTCCATACTTATCTCCATAGATCCAGCAACCACGCCAGACGCACCAAAAAATGTATTGTCTACAGCCAGCCACTCAAATACCACAGTATTTGCTCCAAAGAGAAAGTCCAGGTTGCACACCTAAACACACTTAAAACCACCTTCACTAAACAAGGACATTCCACCAGAGAAGTAGATTGCATTCTGGAAAGGGCCACCAAAATATTCTAGGAGAACATTCTTCAGTACAGGGGAAAAAACCTGAAACCATTGACTGCACATCCCTAGCGACACAGTTATATCGACCTACCTCCTGGTGTAGCTCCACCTCCACTTCTCGGGGAGGTGGAGTACCTAGACGATGGGAAAAACTATCCTGTTGGTGTAGGTAGCATCTTCACTAAGTGCCACAGCAGCACAGTTGCAGTTTTGTAAGTGTAGACAAACTCTCAGACACTGCTTCCTTCCCCAGACCTGAAGGAGAGCTCTGTGTAGCTCTGAGGACTTGTACCTTCCACTGACAGAAGTTGGTCCAGTCAAAGATATTACCTCACCTGCCTTATCTCTCTTATATGCAAGGTTGGTATTTGGAGCTCTTTGTGCAGAATTACTCTCTGTACCTGAATTCTGCCCAATTCAGGACAGTAGTCTTGCAGTTACTTCTAAATACTCCTCAGACTGACCGAACTACAGGATCACTACTTGCTTGTTAATCTCCCAAGTGTGGCAGTCCATATGGACAGCTTCAACAGAGATTTTGAGCATGCAGTGGTTCACTTGGATCTGTAACTGCACAGATCCAAAGAGAAACTAACTAAGGCTACACTCTGGACCTTATAGCGGCACAGTTGCGCCACTGTAAGGTCTCCTGTGTAGCCACTTTATGCCAGTGGGAGAGCTCTCTCCCGCCAGCATAATTAAACCATCCCCAGTGAGCAGCGGTAGATATGTTAGTGGGAGACACTCTGCTGCTGACATAGCACTGTCCACACCAGCACTTATGTTGGTGAGGGGTGTGGTTTTTTTCACACCCCTCCCAACAAAAGTTTTGCCGACAAAAGTGCTAGTGTAGACAAGCCTAAAATGTGTTTCTTCAGAGAACAATTCTTGCAGATAAATAATTAACTCTTGTAATACAACAAATAGTTTTTCTCCAACTACTCAAATTGTAGTCATGGACACTGGGCTACATACATATACAGCCATCTGATGGCTTTCTGATCATCTAGTTTTAGGGATATTCCTCCCAACAATTCCTAATTTTCGAATGCTCTACTAATCTTTTCCTCTTCTCAGAGGTTCCAATATCAAAGAGCTTCACAACTCCAGTTTATATCAAGCTGTTGTTTTTCTTTACTCAGCTCAGTGGTGATTGGATACTCCTCTGTTGAACCATAAAGGTGGCCCTCTCTTCAGTTTTGGAAATGTTACCTGTGGATGCCTCAATTTTTGATCCACAGAAGATATTTCCTGATGCAAATCTAGTGCCCTATTTAGTTCTTGCAATTTATAGGCTCCAGCATTATGTTACGTGCAGTAATCGATCATCCAGAATAAGAAGGTTTGGTGCTTATTTACTCCCTGTTAGTGGTGGAAAAGAATTGCTGACCCATGTGTCTCCCTGTTAATTTTTAATACGAATTAAAATCTGTATACATGTCATCCTAAATGCCTTTTTTTTAAAAAGTTGTTTGGGGAAAAAATGGTTGTTTAAGCATTTTTTGTAAATGCAAATGCATATAAATATGTGATTGTACTCTGAAAGTTTCTTTAAGTTTTTTTTTAACAGGATTATGGTACCCCTGTGTTTGATTTATGAATCAGTGTTTTAAGAGCTCAAGATATGTAAGAAATCTGCAATAACAACAAAATGCAAGTTATCTATGTAGCTTACAAAGTTTGCTTTGAGTATTAGTGAGTGTTTTCCTATGGCAAGGCTACCACCGTGTGTCACTAGTTGGAAATGCAATTTTTGTGCTTTGGTTAACAGCTGCAGGCTAAATTTGAACATCTTAAGCGACTTCACCAAGAAGAGAGGATGAAGCTGGAGGAAAAAAGAAAACTCCTGGAAGATGATATGATTGCATTCAATAAGAGGAAAGCTGCTACTGAGTTACTTCAAGCACAGGCATTTGCATCTACACCTAGCGTTAGTTTGAAAAAAGACAAGGACCGTAAAAAGTAAGTGCTCATACTAGCAGTCTGTCTAGGATATCAATAGAGAAAAAAGTCTTCACATTTCAGAGTTATTTAGTCATAACCAAACTTCAGTCATTTTAGTAAACAGTGTAAATATGTTATCTTTTATATGATGAGAATTAAAGTATGAATAATCTTTATGCTTGAGTCACTGACTCAAATAACACAGCTATTTTGACTGATTTGAGGAGCTGCTGTATATTCTATGAGAGTTCTTTTTTTCAATAAGGGATCCAGGTTTTCGGCTTGAACTCCTGTGCTTTGATGTCAGAGATCATGAAATTGTGAACGTGCAGGAACAGAGTGAGAGGGAGAAGTTAGAAAGGGACAGAATCTCACACAGGGAATTCCAGAAATAGCAATTGGATGCAATTGTCGAGTTTTATGGGTTTAGGGTATGTGTTAGTTTCAAAAGTTGTAGAATTGATCTTTATAGTTACTACTTTTTTCTCGCATTTCTTCTTTTATTCTTTGTATTATCAGATGCTATGCTATTTTCTAGTAAAGAGTGAAGCCAATGTGGATCTTTGCCAGTGCTAACCAGTAATCTTTGCTGGGTCAATGGCACTCATTGGCTTGCAATCCTCCAATACCTCCACACCACTGAGGAACCAGTTGCTCTGCCATAGTTGTGATTGTATCATCCCATACATTACAAACAAGTATTTTCAGGATTTTGTAACATGGTCATACAATTGTGCTGTATCCTGAATATGGCCCACATTTTTTCACTTTTGGAGCCAGTTGACTTTTGTCTTGTGAAAACTTGAAAAAGTTGTGGAGTTACAGGAGTCCTTTAAAAAGCAGAACTCCCAAATAACTCATCAAAACAAATGTGTTTTCACAAAGAAAATTGATGCACACAAAATATGTTTTAACTTTGAGTGTGACAAAAACAACAAACATCATAAAATTAATCATTTTTTTCCTTGATGGTGGATTACAATTTAACGGTAAATAACTGTTTGCTTTGTTGTTTGTGTCAGTCTTATTGAAATTGAAAATTCAATTTTGATCTGATACGCAGCTGCATGTCACTGGCCAACTGCTATGCGTAATTTTAGAAGTTATATGGGCACACACATTCCCATGAATGCGGGAGCAAGACCAGGCTTGACCTTTTCTGTGTATACATCAGTTTTCTATTTCTACTTCACCCTCTCAAAATTGCATCTTATAAACAATGTAGCTACTTTCTTTTCCCTTCATGTCTTCTTCTGTAAGAATTGTACATGAAAATGGATTTATTAACTGTACCATTATGAATAATTCTTGTGTCTAAAGTTTTTCATTTTCTCTGTATTTACTAATGTATTTTTCTGTTTCATTTCCAGCTTTATGTAATACAGAGGATTATGGCAAGCAAATGTTTAAAATTATACAAGTAAGCTATGGTTTCCTATACTTTTTCTTTTTCTTCTGTATTTCTTACCAAACAAGAATTTGGAAAATGGCCATTACTACTGCAAGTTAAAGAAGAAAAGTATATGGTCAATATGCATACAGTATTGTAAGTTACTGTTACATTAATATAATTTAATGAACATTTCCATTAAGCAGCTATGTTGATATGCCCTTATACTTTAGGAGCATATGGCCAAGTCACACTTAAGTGCATTGTACCAAAGAAAATATCTATCATAGACCGTTTTCATTCATAATATGAATACTGTAGTACAGAAGTATTCAGTGAATATATATATATATATATATATATAAATATATATATATATATATACATTATAGCCTTTTGAAAGTAATTTTGATACGTTATGTTTACTTACTAAACAGCATTTAATGTAACTTCTGAAGTGTTTTGAAATGTATTAAATATTTAAATCTGCTCAAATAACCACTTATTAATTTTGCTGACAATGGTTTGTTTTTTATAGAAACACTGTCCTGATTTTGTGATCTAAGCTTTCTAATGAAAACGAATCATGGTCTTCAGTGCTGCAGTGTTGCATGCTAATATATTTGTAGTTGACATTACTAATTGAAGACCAAGTCATTAAAAAATATAGTCTAATCCACTTTCATCTGCTTTTCAGTCTTTGGCCTCTTTACATGTATTCCCTGGTTCAGAAGCTGGGCATTTTTTAAATAAACTAGGCTATTAAAGACACACATAAGTAACTTTACAAACATGGCTAGTCCCATTTATTTCAATGAGACTTCTTGCATGCATAAGTTAAACATGTGTATAAGTGTTTCCAGGATTGGAGCCTTTCTTTATTTGTATCTCTTTACTACATAAAGACAAACTGTTTTGTGGCTTACAGAATAGTTTGAAGAATCGTTTTTTAAAAACAAACTTTGGAAAGTAACCATAGCTTTGTAGTGTTAAAATTGTCATACATCTAGAACAGATGGCTAAACTTCCCTTTTGTTAACTTCAGCATCTTTAGGTTAAAGCACGTTTAAAACAATTCTTATATTTTAAAAGTCCCCGATAACTATTTATCTGCAATAATCTATAGACGATGTAATTCTCCAAAGATGACTTGTACATTACTATTTTTGAAATAAAATATTAATACATAACTTCACTGAAATAAAATGTACTTGCTGAAATGTGTCTAAATTGCTTTAAATCCTACTTTTGTGTGTGTTGGTATTAGACACATAGGTTAAGAATTCACGTTACTCTTAAAAATAAACAAAAGTAATACAGTTGCAGTTTTTTCAAACATTTTTCTTAAACAAATGATTTATTGGCCAAAATAAAATTTTAGTTCTGGTGCATTGCCTCAAGAAGTCAGACTGGTTCATAAACTGTTACTGTGCTCAAGCTCTGGCCCTTCTGAGTTTATTTAAACTGAGGAGATGATGCACACAAAGATGAGATAAGCTGATAAGAGGGGAGGAGAATAATGGAAAGGAGTAGTAGTATAATTGGAGATAAAATGTAGTTTGGAAAAGTCCATAACTGCCTTTGTGTGCACTTACCCTGAAATATAAGGTACTGGATAAGTGCTAGTGTATGTACTTGCATGCCTAACAGTACAATAGAGTTCAAAGCATTAGAAAGCAATTACTGTTCTTACAATCATCATGTGGGAAATAAGAGTTTAGGTGGAACACTTTTTAATTTACCATAATTCCGTATATGCTCATTAAGTGGGCCCTTCTGAAAGGACTGTTCTGTTCATGTAGTGATTGCTAGGATATTCATTCTAGTTTCATTGTTGCTGTTTTGATGCCCCCATCACAATGCATACTGTATGCATTAAGGCTAAGATTTTAAGGCATGGATATTTTTAATAGAAGTCACGGGTAATAAAGAAGAATTCATGGAAGCCCATGAGCTGTCCCTGACTTTTGCTAAAAATATCCCTGACAAAATGGGGATCCCAGCTGCGGGGTCCCCACACCACCTGCGGAGGTTGGGCAGCTGCAGGAGCCGCTCTGAGGTCAGGGGGCCCCCACCGTCTGTGGGGGCTCGGCGCTCCACGGTACCCACAGCGGCCGGGAGGTTTGAAGGACCCCTGGCACCTATAGTGGTTTGGAACTCTGGGGGCGGTGACTCAGAGCTCCAGGGTACCCCTGCCCCCCTGGCAACTGGGAGCTACAACCCTCCCCCCCCCGCTGCCCACGGCGGCTAGGAGCTGTGGCCCCACCACCCTCGGCAGCTCGGAGCAGTGGGAGTCCCTGCCACTCACTGCGGCTTGGAGCTCTGGGGAGCCCCACTGCCTGTGTTGGCTGGGAGCTGCAGGAGGGCCCCACTGCCCGCAGCAGCTCAGAGCTCCGGGGGGGCCCCAGCAGCAGCAAGGAGCTGAGGCCCTGCAGCGGCTGGGAACTCCAGGGGCCCCTGTCACCGACAGCCATGGGGAGCTGTGGGGTCCCCCTCCCCCGCACCGGGGTGGGGGGCACGGGACCCTGCAGCTCCTGAAGGACAGAGCTGAATTCATAGAGGTCGCTGGAAATCATGGATTCTGTGACTTCCGCGACCTCTGTGGAAAAAATCGTAGCCTTTTAAAATATATACAATATATATAAAAATACGCATTCTGGGCCACTGGAACAGTTGCCCTGTTAGGTAAAGGACCAAAGAACATAAGAACAGTCATACTGGGTCAGATCAATGGTCCATCTAGCCCAGTATCCTGTCATCCGACAGTGGCCAATGCAAGGTGCTTCAGAGGGAATGAGCAGAACAGGAAATCATCAAGTTATCCATCCCCTGTCGCCCATTCCCAGCTTCTTGCAAACAGAGGCTAGGGACACTTCAGAGCATGGTTTTGCATCCCTGCTTATCCTGGCTAATAGCCATTGATGGATTTATCCTCCATTAACTTATCTAGTTCTTTTTTGAATCCTGTTATAGTCTTGGCCTTCACAATATCCTCCGGCAAAGAGTTCCACAGGTTGACTGCGTGTTGTGTGAAGAAATACTTCCTTTTATTTGTTTTAAACCTTCTGCTTATTAATTTCATGTAGTGACCCCTAGTTCTTGTGTTATGAGAAGGAGTATATAACACTTCCTTATTTACTTTCTCCACACCAGTCATGATTTTATACTTTTTATACTTTACCTAACGTGTTCTTTGTATGCTTTGTAGTTTAATGTAACTTTAAGATATAGTAATATTTGTACCTTGACTTTGATTTCCTCTCACAGCAAAATTTTATTTTAATCCCCTGATGTTGCTGATATAAGATTTTCCTATTTCCATATTCCAGAGAATCTACGGTTGCACAATGAAATTAGATGGAGAAAATACTTGACTTAAAATAGTGTACTGATATTTTCTGTATTTCACAGAGTCATTGTAACATATGGAAACAAGAACTGCTTGTGACATCAACATCATTAAGCAGCATCTCAACCTTTACTAAGGGGCAGAGCTGTAACTAAGCATTTTGCTTGCCCTAGACTAATCATATTTGCACTCACTAGAGGCAACATAGGGGGGAGACACTCAGGGTCACATGCCCCCTCAGATTTTTGCCTCCCATTTAGCTCAGAGGTTTTCTAACTGTGGAGTGTGCCTCCCTAGGGGGATGCACCCCACAGTTTGAAAACTGTCGCTTCCTGCCAGGAACCAGCACATTGGAAGTTGGTAGGAGCCGCCTGGCCCGCTCACACCCCTGGCGCTCCATGTTGTGGGAGCCAGGGCACTGGCTGGCTGCCCGGAAGCCCTCCCTGCCCTGCTCCCCAAGCCAGGCCACCTCTGCACAGATGGGCAATCCCCAGGCAGGGCGGTGGCACAGCTCCAACCTGTGC